TTTGATATCTTTATTGAATTATCCGCCCATCGTGTGTGATCAAACCGCAGATAGAACGCGCTTTAAGAATATACTATTTTAAACGAATTAAATAATGTAATTGAGCAATGTATGTAGTATATATCAGAAAATAAGCATATCAATCGATGGATAATCTATAGCTTTATCACACTATTACTCGAAATTTTAAAAGCATAATCATGTCGAAAATAGAATATGTACAATCAACTCATGGTAAAACTCATGTATGTTATGAAGGTTTTCGGTATTATTGTCACCGTAAAAATGATGATGATTGAAAGTATTGGAAATATGTTAAAAAATCTTGACGTGTTGGCTTAACAATAAAACCAGATGGTACAATTAAGATACGTGCTGATCATGGCCACTTGCCAAATGAAGCTAACAAAAAAGTGTTGATTATACACCAAAATTTAAAACGCAAAGTGGTTGAATCATCGGTACCAATTGATGCTATCGTCGATCAGACATATGCTGGTCTCCAGAATTCAACCGTATGCCAAGATGTTGTAATTCAGTTACCATCTATTGCAACAATGAGAAATAATCTTCAAAAGGAACGTCGCAAAACAAGACCACCACTTCCCAAGAATATTACCGAGTTACCACATCCAATTCTAATTAACTACCAAAAGAGTTTAAATGGCGAACAATTTGTACTTTATGATGGTTTAATAAATGGTCCACGATGTGTTATATTTTCGACGCCGACTGATATGTTATACTTATCTCAAAGTGAAATGTGGTACTGCGATGTATTACATGATTTTATCAAATTTATTCTATCCATGGGTATAATGATGATGGTATTATGACTATGAATCATCATTTTTATTTATTTGCATTTATACTACATACATAGTTTAGTTAATAATTTAGTCAAATTTACATTACTAATGTAAATGTGAAATGTAAATTTTCTATTCTGCTATTCAATTAAGAGACATGATGTTTCTTAATTGAATGGCAGAATAGAGAACAAAGTTATACATTCTCTTTTTCTTAATTAGTTAATTGATACAGAGAATAAAAAAAAAGGGAACTAAAGAAAACGGAACTGAATCCTCAACTTTTTTAAAGGTAGCTTTTTTCTGTATTTTTAATTAAAGGAAACTAAATTGTGCAGGCCGTCTGTTCTACTTTTATTTAAGATTATTAAAGACTTATAAAAAGTCTTGTAATTAACACTTTAAACGACGCTTTTTAGCAAAATCCACTTTTCTGGTAGAGAAAAACGTTATTTAGATGTATATATCTCATCATAAGAATGACATTTCTTTAAAAAAAAGTCGGTTAATGTCGAAGTAAGATGTGGAAAATTCAAAATTCAACCGTTTTCTATTTTTTTTAATTTATATACATGATTGGATAGAGCTGATCGTCGAGCTGATTTCGAATATGCGTGTTTCAGTCTTCCAAAAAAAAAGTACATCATGCGACTCAGTTTTCGACGGCGAGGCGAATATGATATTTTTATTCTAAAGTTCAAAAAATCGCCTTATTTTGAGAAATTAGCGTATATCTTTCAAACAGCAAGGGTGGGAGCTTTAAGAGTTTTATTTCTTATTCTTCGTTAGAAACGAAATCTGAAAAATATAGTTACAATTTTTTTCTAATATCTTATGAGCGTGAAAAATTTTAGTCTTTCGACTATAGTGTAAATGTAAGTCTTTTTTCATTAGTTTTACGTAATCCTCTCTTGTTCCTGAGATATGGCATTTTCTAAATCATAAGCGAAAAATCGGAATTCTGACGGTAATTCTGTTTTTTCGGCCAGAAACCACTTTTTACGCAATAAAAATGTTATATTCGCTTCACAAAAGTTGTCGGATAGCATTAAAAAATACATCATTCGACTCAGTTTTCGAGAGTGAGACAAAGTTCACACTTATTAACACCATAGAGAGGTTTCGGTAGAATTCTTTTGATATCTTTATTGAATTATCCGCCCATCGTGTGTGATCATACCGCAGATAGAACGCACTTTCAGAATATATTCTTAAAGAATATAATAAGGCTACTTTGCCCTTTTTTTGAGTTTGGTAACTGAGATGTTATTATATATTGTACTCTCTCTATCCTTATTATTAAAAAATTTGAGATTTGCGTGACGCTTGAGCTATGAGTCTTATGATCTCAGCTTCTGAAGCATCTGGCGAAGATTTGCAAACGGATTCTTAATCAGACTGATCCGCCATTGAATCATTTCTTTGTCAAATTTTCGTTAGGTCAACAGGGGGGTTACAGGACAAGAAAGAATATTTACTATAACAGAGAAGCGAGAGTTTTTCAACAATAAAAAATGTTTTTCTCTCCTATAAAACGCGTTTTAAAAACCCACTGGTTCCAAACTGTTGCGTTTATGCTCATGTCTCAGCTTCTGGAGTTCCTATCAAAGATCTGTAAATGGATCTTGGATCAGTTGGATCTGCTCTTCAAAACTTGCTAAGTTGTTAAAGAAACAGATTTTAGCTTCTGATGGTGATAAGACAAGGAATATTGTATACAAAGAAATTTTTGACTGAATGTAGTGTATAATATTCTTATATTAAACAATCTAACTATTGACATTTAACTAACCAAATTAGCCGTCGCAGCACACGGGTAGTGTACTAGTTACTATTACGCTTGCGCATCTACTGTGATGGAAGGACAATAAAATATTCATCATTATTAGTCGTTGAGGATTCCCGGTGACGTTTAAAGTTTCACTATAGAAATGATGTGACTTTCGTGCTAGCTCTTCAGAAGTCTTCTTGTCTATGGTCAATAATAACGTTACTTTTGCTTTGTTTTTAGTTTCGCAACTTAGATGTTATTATACGACGCATATTGGATAACATGAATAATAAATCAATAATGCAGCATAGTTCAAATATAACAGCTACAATATCCATAGATCATTCAGCCTACGTCGATTCTCTATTGAGAAAGCATATAGTTAATCATAACATTGATTTGCCAGTGGTGTTACTCTATTCAATTTCAATTCCAGTTGGTTTACTGGTGAATGTGGCTACATTAACTGTCATTTTATTCTTTCATCATATGCAGACACCGATAAATTTATTCATATTTAATTTATCATGTTGTGATCTTTTCGTGGTAATATTTGTTATGCCCTTCGATCTAATGAATAGTATCAGTCGTCATTGGAATATGGGACTGTTCATGTGTAAACTTATACCTTATATAAAAGCGGTAACGGTCACTGCAAGTATTTACACTCTGTTTGCTATATCAATCGAACGTATTTATGCTGTGAAACATCCTTTACATGCTCGTAGTGTATTGACGAAAAGTAATGCCATTAAATCGAATTTATTTATTTGGCTATTTTCCATGATACTTATGGCAGCCGTTCCGTTTGTACGAACATATTCTAATCCATTCGCATCCACAGCATTCTCATCAAATGTTACCCGATCGATTTTTTTCACTACTGGAATGGATATTAATATTTGTTTTGAACAATGGTCATCGTCACTTTCCAAATTAGTTTATACCATAATAATCTTCATCTTTATCTACGTTATACCATCGTTGACAATATTAGCTGCACATTTATCGATAGGCTTCTATATTAATGTTGGACAGTCATGTCGAAGATCTGATTATCATAGTGAAAGTATACAAATAACTTCTATAATCGGAAGAAAACCGTATGAACGCTCGTTAACATCAGCTTCAACGACCATCGGCTCAACACTTTTCAATCAAAAAAATTGTTCAACAGTATCAAATTCTGAACGTATTCGAACAAAACAACATCGAAAATTATTGCGTATGTTAATAATCATGATATTATTATTCTCGTTATCTTGGTTACCTTATCATATTCTCAGTCTTATTATGGAATGTCAATCATTGTCAGAAAAGACAACATTAACGAAAAATTATTATAACACTTTACTGTACGATTACGCATTATGGTTGGGTGAATTTGGATCAGTGCTGAATCCCATATGTTATGGAATTATGTCCGAACGTTTCCAAGCATGTCTTGTAAGGCTATTCAAACCTACTCGATCAAAAAGAATAACTCAATGTACATTCATGTTTAGACCACGCTCTAAATCATTGGTGGGCCGGGAAAGATTTTTTAGGGGGACAATCAATTTTTAGAGTAGTGCATACACAAACTATAAAAAAATAAAAATAAAAATAAATAAAAATATATAGTTCGAAATATAATTCTTCACAGGACAATAACTGCTTATTGCCTTTGATATTTTTTGCCAGGAGGAGCAATTGCCTCCAACTGCCATGCTGGCGGTCCGCCAAGGCTTTAAATGACGAGCTAGTCAACGCGGTTAAGTATCGTTCGTGATGGTCATTATGACGGATCTCAGTGATGACCGGCATAGTAAAGACATTCTTAAGCTTTTTGCTAGGTTTTTTTTGTTTAGTCACTTTTTGTTGCAAAGTGTGTACGACGGGATCTAGAGAATTATGTATGCAACGTAGAACGTTTTTGAAAACGGCAGGAAAGTCTTTGAGTTCTGAGGATTGATCGGTGTACTTACGTTTTTCGAACACAAGTCCAGATTCGGCGTAATATGCTACACAAGTGGAAGAAAAATGTGTTTTGGACTCGAAAGTTTTTTTGAGTTCATTAGCATCAGTTGGTTTAAGCTTTAATCTTGAACCAGAACGAAATCGAGAATATAAATTCCCATTATATCATTCTGAAACTTAAACTATCAAAACACAAAATCAATCCAGCATCAATGTTGTCCGGCGCCATTTATTCTTAAGAAGAAAAATAATTCTCTCTCGTTCCTGTTTCTCTGTTCTTGATATTTGGTTCCCTGTTCTGTTATTCTCTCTAATTATGTCTTTTAAAGTTGCTGAAATAGAAAATCGCTGTAAAAGAGGTGCAGTGGAAATCTACTGACTGAATTGATAACTTTTGGCAGCTGTCAGTGTGACAATTCTTTGTCACAACCTCTCTTTCTAGTACGTACATCTTTCGGTAGGGCTACTCTCTTTTGTTTGGTTCTGTCCATTCTTTTTCTGCTTTGTTCTTTTGTGATTCTTATCTTTTATGATGCAGTAGTAAATGTATATATTAGGTGTTTTTCTTTTGTTAGAGTTAGTTTTTGTAGTTTGTGATAAAGAGTAGTCGAATAAAAGAGTGATACTATGTATCTTAACGCACGCATACAATCAACTCAAGGACTTATAATTAGAGGAAATATAAGTCATCACAGTCAGCAGAGTCTGGCGACATTGCGACTTGTGCGCAGCACAACTGCTCTCTATTGTCCGTCCAAAAAAAGAATGGTATATGATTGTTTTTTGAATAACTTTCGATAGAAAAGAGCTCTAGTGTTCATCATTCGAAAGAAGAGACTTGCGGACATGTTTTTATAATCAAAAGTTTTTCTGAAACAGGCTTTCGAGAAGATCTTTCGAAAACTAGGAGTGTGTAAAAATCCTCCAGTAGGATTGTATTGGTTTTTTTCACGGACTGATAGTGTCCTCTTTAAAATGAGAGTCAAGGCAGACCTTGATTTTGCGTGGTGTGGGCGCTGTATCGGACTTCCTGCGAGTCCCACGACTGGCACCTGGTGACTATTGGTAGCCTTAAAGACGGATGGACTATGGATAATCGACCATGCTGAGTCTTGTGGGAATATTTGTTTTTAAAAAAATTTTAAAAACCAGCAGAAAAGCGAGTTTTGCGGAAATCAGGTTTTCAGGTTGTTTTCACCTAATATTAAAAAGTTTACTATTCACTCAGAAAACATCAGAAAGAGTTCAAAATTTCACAATGTGGAGTATATAGACTGTGCTATATTCTGTTGATAGCAGAACTCGGAAGAAATTTCACAAATTCCTGAGGTTTCCCGAACTTTTCCCGGGTTTCTGGAAAACTTGTTAACAAAATATATGTTTTTTCAAATATATGCAAAATTTCGATTTTTTCAATCCTATAATCACATTTATCGGACAGCATTAATCACATCCTGAGGTTTTGAACTCGTTCTGATGTTTTTAAGTGAACAATGAACTTTTTAATATTAGGTGAAAACAGCCTGAAAACGCTAATTTTCGTAAAACTCGCTTTTCAGCAGAAGATTTGGGGCTCCCTTGATCCCTGTTTTGAAGAGGACACTATCAGTCCGTGAAAAAAAACAATACAATCCTATTGGAGGAGTTTTACACACGTCCTAGTTTTCGAAAGATCTTCTCGAAAGCCTGTTTTAGAAAAACTTTTGATTATAAAAACATGTCCGCAAGTCTCTTCTTTCGAATGATGAACACTAGAGCTCTTTTCTATCGAAAGTTATTCAAAAAACAGTCATATACCATTCTTTTTTTGGATCTGGTCTGAACACCATATCACTCCTTATTAAGCCTTTAAAACTGTCATCATTTGTTACCTGACCTGCTGTTACACGCTGTTTACCCGGAAATTGTTGTCGAAGAGCGATACAAATCCCAGAATAAGCTTTCTTTAAATCGTTAAGATATTGCAAAAAGAAAATATACGTAGCATCTTCACCAAAACGGGGATTGCACTAACAAGTCTAGTATTACAGTATAAAGAGTACGAAAGAAGCACATCACGTTCATCTTTATACGTACATTTACCATTAGGAAAAATATGAGGAAATGCAGGAGCCTCTATTGTTAGATCTTGCAACAAAGATAAAGGTTTATTTTTTCTACTGGAACAAGACTAATTATTTTGTGTTCTAGAACATAATTCTCTAAATCTGTTCGTTGAAGGCAAGAATGGGTCCCAAAATTAAATTTACTTTTAGGATCTTCTGTGTTTCTGTGATCTTCTGTTGTTTCTACTGAATGAATTTGACTCATTATTGCTGGTTTCAGATAGTTATCGTCAATGTCAATAATCTTAATATCTTTATAATTCTCATTTAAATCCTTTAAACAGTCTAGAACTTCACGCATATGCATCGGATTACTGAACGTTTTTTTCCATATTGCTTTTTTATATTAAATTCGACTTTTTCAGTTCAAACGGGATGATCATTGATTTATCTACAGGTCTCGGAAGAGATGTAACTGTTTCTTGTACATTCGCAGGGACACAATGCAGTGGACCGTGAGTACCTCGCTGCTTATAATTATAAGGTAATAGATCAGCTATGTACATAAAAGGAATTACTAAAGCTACGAGCAGTTTTTCTAAATAATTCGGACTTTTAATTCGTCTAGTACAGTACAAACTTCTAAACCTTTACAAACAGCTCTAGGAGGAACTTTCTTCCGTCTTGAATGACGAGCACATTTACGGCAAATCCATTGGCTACTAGATACACTTCTCTCTCTTCCGACAAAGTGTGAGTTAAATAAACAGACTGATCACACTGCACAACTTGATTTGCAAACATACATCTGTTACAGACAGTACAAATGAAATCTGATCCTTCTTTTGCGATGGTTTCAAACTTTTGGGAACACTTAACGTAAAAAGGCCCTAAATTTTCTTTAATTTCGGCCTGTAATTTTTCAGCTGTTATTTTAAAAGCCCCGATTTTCTTTTTTCTAACGCTGCATACTTCGGTAAAATGTTTTTTGTGTGATCAAAATTATAGCGGTTTAGCTATTCAGCATCGGAGGTTGAACTAATCGGTTGGGACCGCGCTGGAACTGTAGATCTATTTAGTTGTGCAGCAATTCTTCTTTCAGCATCTTTCTGCTTCTTCGTTTTCGCTTTACTAGCAACAGATTTTTCCTTAGCCAGGAAGAGCGTTAATATTAGATTATAACCTTTTAAATATTATACATATGCGAAAATATATCCAACAAAAGTAATTACACCTCAACAACGCCCAACAGAACTCAACAACTCTGGAACAGTACTCAAACAGTGGTTTAAATAGTGTCAAACAATGATTAGATAGTGATTAACAATGCATCAATATGATTCACAGATGCTTAAATTCTTAAATGTTCAAATACTTAGATACTTTAATGCTTAAATGTTTACGAATGCTAAACAAAATTATGAAAGCGCAAAGATGCTTGACTACAATCTAATTTACACTATAAATCCTATTCCTGTAATAATTAGCGATCTCTAACGTATTATTTATTTACATTCCAACAAATAATCCATATAATATGATGATTAATTACAAGAAAAACTACTGTGTGGTAGTAAGTGTTGACGCTGAGAGCCTACAAAAAATAAAAACAAAACATCTAAATACAAAAACCGCAAGCGCTATGTTTATAGAGTAGACTTACAGAAGGAGTTGAAGATGGATCAACGGTGAAAGGCAACACTAACACCGGATTTAAAGCCTATATATGTTTAAATAAGGCAACAATCGAGTAAAACCTCTTTGAGTTAGATATCTAAAAGTGAACAAGCCTCCTAAAGAAGGTGGTAGCAATTGGATCGTAGTAATTAGAGTTTCTTCTTTATTCTTGAAGACAATACGCCAAATCGTTTCAATAATCAGTGAATTTTTGGTTGTTCGGTATTTCTTCTGTTTTGAAATAACAAATCGTCTTTTTTTTTGCTTTTTTCTTCTACTAACTTAAAACTCTTCTCAGTACTCAAATGTCTTTATGTTTTTATGTATACAGAACAAATAATTAAAAAAATTATTTCTCTTTCTCCGACTAAATGACGCCGGACAAAAAAATAACAATAATTATCTAAGTCCAAAACACATTTTTCTTCCATTTGTGTAGCTTATGGCGCCGAATATGGACCTTTATTTGAGAGAAAAATGTGCATTGATCAATCTCCAATGTCGAGAGATTGTCTTCCCGTTTTCAGAAGTTTTCTACGTAGCGTACTTCTCTAGATCACACGGCGCACATTTTGCCATAAAAAAACAAAAATCCCAGCAAAAATACAATATGTCTGTTGACATAATAATAGCGTGATCAGATTCTAACTTGAAGATTTTTCACACTATTTTTCGGAAGCACTATATTAGAATGAGTCACGGATTGATATGCTATTTTGTAACAGAAAGACGACTCTTAAATGTCGAAGTTTTCCCAATTTTTTCTGGCTGCTTTACAAAAGATATTAGTCTAACAAAAGTAATATCTACCAACAGGAAGGTACCGTAGATGAAGATGTTGTACCCTCTATTTGTTTAAGGGTACCCCCCTCCCTCTTTTTTGACCCTCTTGGAAACCGGGGAAGTCGACGTTGGTTCGAGGCGAAATTTATATCAGAGATAGAACATCGAAAAAGAAAATGGATGTATTTTTGCGCAGAATTTTCTGCCGTGTTCTTCTATGGGTTTTCTGACAAACTCCGGTTTTCATCCAGTCACATTATGACCACTCGAAAAAATGATCCGATCGAGCTCAAAATTTTATTACAGATACTTTAGGCCCTATCTCAGGTTAGGTTTTTTTTCTTTTCGACAAATATGTTTGCCTTCTCGAACTACTCGAAAAATACTGAAAATCCTGTATAAAAAAACGGTTTTTGATTTTAAAAACCTCCTCACGCCCAAAGTTGAGATTGAAAACGCTTAAAAAAAAACGAACCTGAGATAGGATCTGAAGTATCTGTGGTAAAAATTTGAGCTTGATTGGACCGTTTTTTCGTGGGATCGTAATGTGATTGGATTGAAGAGACTATCGACAAAACGCATAATGAGAAAAAAACATATTGTGCACATGGCTCTGTTTTACAGGGCATTTGCGGTGATGCTTATATCTCCATTAAAAAACTCATTGGAAAATTCTGTGAGACGTCTCATTTTGAAGAGCACACTTTCTTCTCTCATGCAATTTATAAGAAAAAATTTTAAATGTATAGGAAAAGAGTGGCAAATTTACGAAACTGAAAAACTTAGATTTTCTAGGCTTTGAAGAAAAAACTTAAAAACTCCATAACTTTTCCAACGAAGATCATGGAGAGCTGGGAGTAGTCTCATTTTATAGCCCAGACTTTCCTCTACATTAAACTGTATCCAGCTCAGAATGGGAAGTTTTCTGAAATAAAGAGAGGTACCCTTAAGGCATCAACTAGAGCATCTAAGCTATTCATATTTTTAATTAGCCAAATGCTACAAGATAAGGCTACTTTTCATCTCGTTGTACTTCATAACTCTTGCGTAACTGCGACAGAACTTATTCAAACGACATGAACAAAAACTAATCTTAGTTCTTGAGGACAAGACGGTCGTTTTTCCTTAGTTCTTACTGTTTTTTGAAGCGTCTGAATAATTTCTGACATATTAGTTCATTTCTCAAGTTTTGGTGCATTTATTGTTGATTAGTATCAAGCTAACTGACGAATTTACATGCCAAGGACGGACACGTTGAAAAGTCGTTAAATGAGGTTGCCCAAGTTAAAGAATGAATAGATGAGAGAAAAGAAAGATGGATTGTATATTGTTAAAATGTTATCTCTCGTCCAAAGTTAATAAATAAACAGATAAATTTCAAAATTTTTCTTATGTTAATCATGGCATCCTACAAAAAAATGGGCGTAAAGAAGAAGAGGCAATACTACTTGTAAGAATAAAAAGTAAACTTTACTCATCGATCATTGTCCATCTCTTCTCATTGTCCTATAGAAGAGAGCAAAAGGCTTATCTTTTCTTGTGTATGCATTATGTACACTGCCAATATTTTTCCTTTTTCTTTGTCCAAATACATGCACACTAAACATATTTTCATACAGAAAAAAAAGTTTACTTTTTCTTCAAAAATATTCATCTATCATTGTATGAATATTGACACAATGTTCGTTGTTCATGTGATATTATCGCAAATATTTTAGAACTTAATTTTAGACACATGTTAAATCCTATTTAAACTCAAGGAAAATCGACTTACTTCGTCTACATTGCATAAATACATTGTTTCACAAATGTGACCATTGCAAACAACATTATTGCATCTAAATTAAAAGAATAAAATATTTTTTATATAGAAAATTTCCAAAAGTAAAGTGAGTAACACAATTTTGAATCTTTTTTTTTGTGAAAATAATTTCGAAGTAATAACAAAAACAAAGCTGATTATTTAAAGTAAGACAGACGTAAATCATAGATATGTTCGTAATGACGTTTTGTTTGTGCAAGAGCGAGTTTTCATGAAGATTGTTTTATCATTACACCATTTTTTATTCACCATTTATCTAAATTACACATTAAGTCGTCATCTGACTTTATTTTCAATAGTGAAAATCATTGAATTCATAATTGAACCATATCCATCCTACCAGAGACGGTGGTCGTGCCACTACTGATTTTGAGATTTTTCTTTTTGAGCAATAAAACACGTTTTTCTGCAAAAAAAAAGATCAGATCTTTTTAGGTTTAACAAAAAAACAGTCGCTATCAAATTTCCAGGTTGTCGTTGGAAGTTAAACTGGCATTACCAATGAATTTTGAAAATTATCGCGTCGCCGCCGACAAAATCATCGGTTAACATCTCTACACTTTTCGATCTCAGCTGGTTAGCAGCTGGTGTATTTGAGTATATTATGTGAATAAAAGAGAGTTAGCTATCTGTCCTTGTTGAATATACAAAGAAAAAGATGATATACGCGAATGATTACTATAAATTTTACTAAATATCCCGATCGAGTCACTTTTTACAGGTCAAGGGCATTCACGAAATCTTGTAGCTTTGTTCATACTGATTCAATGAACTTCAAGACAACAGAATGGGACTTAAAATTTGATTTGGAACTTTTTTCTAGTTTTACACGATCCACTTCTAGAATTTCATTCAAGAACCTTACTGTAAGTTACGAAAATCAGATTCGTGATTAGTACCGCAAATTTTGTATAATGTATGGATAAAAAATGGAGAGAGCAGAGAAAGGAGCTTCTCTCGTCAGATAAAACGAACGAAAAATTGTACTGCTAAATATCTTTATCACAAAATTCTCTGCAAATAAATGGTATTTTATGGTATGTTTATTTGTCAAAAAAACTATTTTTCGAGCTTTCCAA